TTCAAAGACGTGCGAAAACTCACTTCTGTTGATACTGAAACCTTGATTTAGCCAGATGTACTAGATAATGCCAAAAGTGGAGAAGGTACAACGCGACAAAGGGGCCTGGAACACACTTATACCTCGTGAAAGCGGAGATCAAAATACAGTAACATTGATAGAAATAATACTTGGTGAAAATGTATCAGTCTTAGGTTCATTACATATTCATGTCGGCCACCGATCGACGGCGTCACATATTACATTATGAACTTCGAGTAAAAATTTTACTACGCTTCATTCGTTTAAACGTACGGCTTCGGCTCCCCTCGATAAGGGAACACTTACCTAATGTAAACGTATTCACGTGTTGAAATAGGTTCGGATAAAATGTCAGGTTCGAAATTATGACCGAGCTAACTCAGAGTGCTAGTGGGCGCTAGAGGGCATGCTAGTGCTAAACTTTTACATAAAGGATTTACGCTCTACTGTACCCCCAGACTCATAATAGGCTTGCCTATTAACTTTGCTAGCCAGACTTCGTAATACCTTTCGTATTTCGTATTAAGACAGGCGTTCATACGAATAAGAACTTTTTGAAATTCATACCTAAGACCAGTTACAGTCAACTCAAACGTAATGGACTCTAAGCAGAAGTTTTGTGAGCAGACAACGAACAGATTTATAATGTTTGTTGCTGTACCATTCAAAATCGTATCTACTGTAAAAAGACTGATAACGCAAGAGAAGCACCGGCTCTCTTCCAGCAACCAGAACAAGGTTCCAGCAATATATGAAAAGGTCCATTGATGCTAGAAGGTAGCTGCTGCCACGACCTTCCCATAAGAGGTTACGTTTCTTTTTTTCATACACAAACACTTTATTCACGCCCAGGTTTGATTCGTGAACCTGAACGAGTATACTCTGTAGAGCAGTGGCAGTGCTTAGCACTGAATAGAGATTTTATGCAGTTGGTATTCTGCTGACGAAGGACACGCACGACCGAATCGCTATATCAGCGGTTATGTAATAAATAAAGAGAAGACAGCATGGAATGTTCACTAGTCGGGCGTGCAGCAATGGACCTACATGCCTTGTATGATCGTCGTATATAGAATTAATCAGTTCATGATTCCTATGGGAAAATTAATCTGAATAAGGAAAGTATAGATATGAGCCCACGGCCTGGATCGTCTGGATCTAAGACGCGTGTCTTAGCAGCAGTAGGCAAGCTGTATGCATCGTTTGGATGTGAGCGTTTAAGCGGATCCTCTCTATTTTTTTCCGTAGGGTAATTTTTTTTTGATTGCCTGCGTTTGATCCTAGTGAGTCTGCGTTTTGAAAAACTAAGCATGAATTGTTCTGGCTTTGGTTCGTAATACAAGGAGGTAATTTTCTATTTTAAATAGATACAACCATATTGGGTGCTACTTATCAGCGTTTCGTACGTTTCGTAGTAGCGTTAAGTGATAGCTAAGCTTTGTCTTTGGCTGGCGGGGAGTAGCACCTTCTTGCGCCTCCCCTTCTGCTGATACAACCGTGTATTTACTATATACTTAAACAAATGTTTGGTTTATTAAAACCCCAGCGGAATATCCAGTTTAGAGTTGGTTTAGGTATTTTTGCCGTGCATCGATGGTATGGGATTCCGTTGTGTCCACGGCTTACTAACAGGTCGCACAATGGCCGACCTTCATACGACTGAGAGCATTTTAAATGAGCTCGTGGCAGCGGGCCCACGTATTGGGGCTTTCTATCGTCCTTTCGTACATGTTGTTACTGTGGTGGTCTTTGTAACATTTTCGGCTGTCCCCTTTGCCCAATAGAATCCATATTCATTTTTCACTGCGACGGATTCATAGATCTGTGGTTCATTGATTAAGAGGGGACTTACCTTCGCGGCCTTCTATCGCAGGTTAGCATACATTGCGTCCGCGTGTCCTAGACCGATTTTTTCTGTTCGGGAAATATTCGGTCATCAGGTAAATTTTTCCGTACACTTAAATGACATCGATGACTACCGGCAACTCCTTAGCGCCAGAGCAATATAGGATGCCTTGCCTGAATACCAACTCGAGAACTTTCCATTTTCTGTGCAAGGCTTATCGCTTCTCGATGATGGGTCACCAGTTGACGCGCTGCGCGGTCGACATCGTTGTAAAGGATCCCTTTGCCGTGTAACCTAGAACCATTTGAATCAACTCAACATATGAAGTCACTCTCGCTGCGATAAGGAACTTAGCAAATGTACTGATCCTTCTGCTCCTTGAATGTTGCCCGAGAAAACTAAACTCGACTGTTATATCAACCTCTTGTTGCAAAGATCGTTCGGCAGTCATGAACTGGCTGTCACTAAAATGTTATCGTATCATATGTTATCATGAGTAGCGCTTCTAAACCCTAATAAAATAAAAATAAGTCGTGTATAAAACAAAAACCGTGTAAGAGACAATCTTTAAAAACACTACAAAAGTGAACAGATTGTTGGTTTCACGGCTCACGATTTCATAAGTAAAAGTCGCTTTTACCATGAAGGCATTATTTTTTTGAAAAGCTGTTGCAGTCCACGGTCCTTGACAGGGTGTCCGGTGCCAAAGCGATTGGCCGCTAGGTCTGCTTTTTGGCGAGTAATTAAAATTAAGATATAAACCTTTCTAGGTCGTCGTTTATGTTGTAAGTCGTCCAATTTTACGACCCACATATCATTTATAATACATTCTAGTTTCACTTTGCTTCAGTTGTTTTCATTCAAATGCAACCCCCTGGTCGTTGTCATTAATGGCGACTGGTTTTTGCCTGGCCAGCTGAAATTTTCATCCTTACGATGTTACTTACTTTACTATGGCTATATCAAGAACTGTTGGAATAAGTTTTAGATACGTTTCAAGTGTACATCCTCATCAAGCTGGGCTTTCAAAACCATAATATGATGCACACTAGTACACAATATGGATCCACACTCAAATCAAAACATGGAAAATTTTACAATTGAATGCATACTTTTAGATGTAATTTCATGCAGATATCTAAACACATACTTCCAGTCTGCAATACTCCACAGTATTTATCATAAACAACTAAGTTCCTCACGTTTTCACTTCTGCACTTCAAAATCAAGAATTAACTAATGTAATGAAGATATTCAGACAACCCAAGTCCCCATATTCCAACAATGATAAATAAGAAGGGAACATGACTTTCAAGGGTACTTCAATATAGTTCAATGACCACCCAGCGAAATAGGTGATGATTCTGATCGAAGTAGGTGAAAATATCAATACTGCCTAATGGACAAAGACCATTGAACCCAGAAGGTGACGCTGTAGGAACTTAACAACCGGATAACGTTAATAGTCCCGTTAAGAAGTAGAAGTTACGAATATGGATCATAAGGGCCATGCAAATGGCAGAAATATTCATACTAACCCTTTGTGCACTTCATAAATCGGTCACATTCCATATCGGATCTTTCTTTGACGTGGTTTGTCTGGCCCACTGATTCAAACTTTTAGAAGATGGAAAAAATATAATAATAGTATACTTTTTAATGTAGATTATCATTGAATTTAATTAACATAGATTTGAGGCAGTCGGTGACAGTCTCCGTTGATGGTGGTATTCGTAATGGCGCGGCGTTGTGCACAAGGGAGCAATTTCTAGTTCAGAATAATGGAATAAAACTAAGGCAATAGATGCCGGTCTCGAAGCTTCACTTAAAACTGTTACGGTCACAAATCTTCACCGAAGCCACAAAAACCATTACCTTTTTCGAATCTATCGTAGTTGTTTGAATATACCCTGCTTGCTAACGAAATCGAAGATAACTCAGTGAAACAGCTGTTTAGTATCGTAAAAATCATATAGTTGACATTAGTGCTATTAGCTTAAAGTCAAATGAGGAATAAGCCCGAAAAAATTCGTCAGTGCGCTCTCGGTATTATTTAGGTTTAGCAGATATATGAACGTATGCTATGGGTCAGTTCAGCCTGGACTGAACTTTCTACTAAGGGCTTACCTAATAGCACCAAAAGTGTGTACGAAGGTAACGATCGAAAGATCTGTGTACTTTTGAGTATTACTTTTGACTGTGCATTAAAATCTTCAAGGCTTAAAAAAAGATCCAGCTCCATCTCCCACGGATGTTAAGCTACATATTAGACCATGGAGGAATCATCTAACGTATAAATACATTTTCAACCTTTCTATACTAGGTAAGCAGTTTGCAGGTATAGGTAGACATTGTTTGTAGGCATATCGTAGCTTACGTATGTACAATGGATGGCCACCGTAACAGTGTATATATCACAGGCAGACATACCGCCATTACATATCTCTGATGCTTTACACCTTTTGATGTTTTATTCTCGATTCTGACGAAGTCCACTACTTCGTACAACTGACTTTTGACTAGCCGAACTTAGTTATCTTTAAAAAAGTGTTTTTGAATTTTTCTGCTTGGTAAGTAAAAAATCTCCAACAGGGATAACTAACAAACGAAGTATATAAAATGCGAAGATTCTGCGATTCTAGCCCTATGTTTTGAACGAAAGTCCACCAATCGTTAGTCGTAGATGGTTATACACAAACATATTAAAATACGATCTTTACTTATATGGACGCAAAGCTAGGATTTTAATAATAGTAAATTATTGTTATATATATATATATATAAAAACATGTATTTTTCTCGAAATGTTTTATCAGGTCTCCTACCATGATCGTACGTTTACGTACCGAGATTTTTTGTATAAGGAATTGCTGAAGCACAATTGCAGGGAAGTCAATATATTTCAATAAAGGAAAATACTTTCCCTACAATATTTCTGTGACGGGAACTCTATCACAGTGCACAAACTGAAAATATTGTTATATGAAGTGTTGGTACTGAGATAAGTAAATAATGGCTACGGTCACCAGGCTTGCATTTTCAGCGCCACGTGTCACTTCAGTTATTAGGAACACAAAGGTTAACTGGTTAGAAGCTGAATTTATCATTCGCATAGTGTTGAAGGACTCGAAGGCCGTCACTTTGAACATAAACACAACCGCTGGCTTCACAAATTATGTTTGTGACATTATTATTAAAAACAACGAGTTCGCAAGTTTAAATGGGAAATCCAGCCGCGGTACAAGATCCTGCCAACGCGTCAACGACTACTAGCCACGAATCATGTCCGGCCGGGAAAGAAGCTTCAAGTCCTACTAAACGAGACGAAGAGGTTTCGAAGCTTGTAGAAGTGATACTACACAGACCATTCAATAGAGCGATCACTCATCATCGTATCAGGCGACCTTCGCCATTTGTAAGTACCGAGTACGTTTATCTGTGAAGGAACAAGGCTACTGTTTTTTTTTTTTGCATATAATTATATGCTACACAACATCTTTTGCGCAATACACTTCCTTTATCTGAAATAAATTGTATTAGCAGGTGCCTGGCGTTAAGTCGGCGAGTTTCCAGCTGCTAGCTATATAGACGCAGAACATTGAAAGCTCTTAAGTTGAAGAACTTAAGTCAGGTATGGTATTTGTAGATTACGATTCTCGAATCGTCGCAAATCCACCTTCGTTGTTACGCAGAAATGAACAGAAGTTAATTATCATCGAACAGAACGTGATAAAAACGTATTGCGTAATAGTGCGAAGAATCGTCATATATTTGCTGCCATACCTCGTTCTCTCTGTTAATCTGGCTGCAGGGAATAGAAGAATCAATTTTTCGAGCAAGACAAGTAGTTCGAGTTACTATTTTCTTAATTAGAACATAATGGTTAGTTCAGTATAGCCATAGCATACGAGTTGTTATAGAATACAAGCATGGGGCATTTGAAATTTTGAAAAAATCCCCGTCACAATAACAACACAGTCGTAATCAAGGGAAAAGAAACGATCAGATATAAATGCACTTTTGTCGAACAATAAAGGTGCTTTTTTTAACATTAAGTGATCGGATCTTGCGATAGAAGACATAAAGAAGACACATATAGAGATGATGAAGACGATTGTTCAATTTACCATTAGGGCAGTAGTGGTTTGCGTTTAGACATTTAAATCAGCATCTTCGTTTCATCGGTTTCTCTTCGTACGTACAGTTTATGTTGCCTGCCGACAATGTCTAACCACATGGAATACAAAGATGATCAGACAAGAGTCAAGGGTAGTGAAGAACATCTTGAATATGTATGTAAATATAGGCTATACTTAAGAACGATTAGTAAACGGCACCCATCAAACCCGAGCAAATATTCAGAGGTTCGAAAAAGGCCATTTTCTGTTTACTATGTGTGTTTAAAAAGGAGGGGTAGCGCCTATATTTTTAGGGTGAGCTCAGCGCGCGAAACGGACCGCAAATGCGTCTCGAGTACCTTTAAATATCAAATTTTTCGATTTCTATCATAAGAATATTTAGTGTTTGTCATTTGCCAGCTTCTTGTCTAGCTCTTCATTCCTATATTAATTTGAGCAATCGCTTGAAGAAAATTGTGTTATTGTGTTTTTGATACATCAACGCAGCTTCTCGGAAAAAGTGAAGTATTATTTGGCGTATCCCAGAATATTTCCGATAGATGCACAAATTTCTAAGTCTGTGTTCCATCTTGCTCATACTCTTCGGAACCGATAGGTGAGGCTTTTAACGATCTTACAACCAGTTACTTATGCAGCATTAATCGCTTTGAAATTTCTATTGTGTTGCAGGGTCTTCACGTAGCTACTTTATGTCGTTTAACCACACTGGCCGCCCTTGTTTATAGCGCAGTACAGTCAGCGATTCTTTTGGTAGACACATTTGATTTACTACGCGATTGGCAATATTCGGATACGAAATCGCCAAAAGCGTTCGACATCGTGTATTTTGTAACGCTTATGCTGCTGTTATTATCTGCCTTCCTGGCAATATTCGGCATTATCTTCTACCGAGCGTATCTCACAGTGAGTGTTGTTCAGCTTTGATTGTATAACTTGAACTTACTACTTACCACAAAAAAACATTTCACGTTTCACAGCTGACACCTTTTAACACTGTTAAGCAATAGGTTTGATGTTCAGCTTCCTGCAATGCATCTAGTCCACTATTTAAACCAAAACTATCACGAGTCTCTAGAAATATTACGCAAAGACGTTATTTACTGTCCAATCACGGGGAAAAGGTCTGTGTACATTTGCTGGATTAGGATTTTACAGGATTAGGGATATGGGAATATCGTCTGTAGGAAATAGTGCACAATAAGCTACGGAACTTAAAGCAGCTCTCAATTTTAAGAACGTGCATTGTTCTGGTGGCGGTGATTAGATATTTAGAGTGCGCACTCAAGTGATTCTATTAATTCTAGATCGCTCTGTGCCATATACAATGCACTTTGTGGTTTAGATCAGAGGTTACGTTGATTTGAGTATACTTTAAATTAGTCTACAGAGGTACATGTACATTTTACCTAATACTCATTCATTAGAGTTAACCTCGGCGGCCACAACTTCTTGCAGTTAAACTCTTCTGTCGTAATATATAATAAATTGGCTCATAGGATTAATCAATTTTTTCTCCCACTCTCATTCATTCTGACGATGAGAGTACACACGCTCAGGAATACATGCACCTCTATCAAAAACGCGCAATTCTTAAGGAAATTTAAATCCGTCGTAACCGTGTCGGAAGAAACGACCCTCTTATCGTAACTGCGTGTTATGGCTTGTAACCTTGTAATTACTTAAAGTTGACTTAAAAACTGTGAAGAGTTATAAAAACGGTTTGCGTTAATGGGCTCATTGTTAGCTTTAAGGGATTTCAAAGCTTGTAATAATATGGCCACGAAAAACAATTTTCATAGTGTTTTACACATTATTTTTTAAGCACAGAGTAGGTCTGGAAGTATGTATTCATATTCATTTAGTCAATCTTGTTACTTAGGGCAGAGGCCAACGACAGAAAATCGCTCCGTGAAATAAACTCGCAATAGAAAACGGGCTATATAGAGGATACAAAGGTAATCCTGATTAATTTTAACGGACTGGTGGTCATAGTGAAAATGCGTTAATCCGGTACTTCTGATACCGGAAGAAAGCCAGTTCCTTCCAAAAACAATAAACATGGCGGAAAACAATGTGTCGTCTTCGAGAGTTAAGTGAAGATGAAGAAAATGAAATATATAGATTTTTCAAAGTATCAAAATTAACAGTCTATCGTATTGCCAGTTTTCACGCTGGTATTTAAAAATTCAAGCGCTGGTATTTAAAAATTCAAGGAGGGCTTTCACGAGGTAAACTAGAGACTCCTCAACAGGGTTTAGATCTAAAGGGATTAGAAATTTATTAAGCAGACTCTTTTTTTTTATTTAGATGCACGCCGTTTTGGAGAAAATATATCAGTCATTAGTTAAGTTGCCCTGATGAGCTGCAACAAAGGGGAAGTTTTTGCGTGTCTATGACGATTTTTATCCCTTACATTTTTAAGAGTTTCAATCAGTTATCAGCTGCTGGAATTTTTTGTATATAGCATACTCGAGGTATAATCGTCTTAAAGGTCCTAATTGTCTTAAGGTCGTAATGGTGGTCAATGATGCTGAAATTACGCAAGTATTATAGAAAATTAGAAATGATACTTTTAGTACATTTGAAAAATTTTATATTTCGTTATTTAGACTTAGAAACAATGCAAAAAAAAAGAAAATCCGGGTTTAGAAGTCAAGCCTAGTATCTATATATATTGAATAACGTTGTGCACCGCAACAAGTTACAAATCAGACGATTTCCCATAATGTCAAAGAGCGCAAGTAATCCGTTCCTGCATAACACGTTTCGCCTGGGGTTCTCGAAAGTTTAGGTGGCCACATACTTTCTGAATGTAAAATGGCTGCATTGATACGGACAGTTTTTCTATTTCACCTTAGTAAAGCCAAATTTAAAATAATTTAACTTGCTATTTTCAGGTTCCATTTATTTTGTGCGGCCTATGCGCTTTTGTCCTTCTGAGCGGTCTGTTAAACTACTCGCTGTTCCAACCACCTGACCGTTTCTATTCGACGTTTACGACAACTTTTCCGGATTATAGAATGAACGCCCTGTTCGACATAATTGTATTGGGCGTATCAGTCTACATTACCTTATGTAACGTCCGCGAGCAGGTGTGCACTTATTATTTGGTTTTAGTTAATTATGGTGACGACGAGAACAGCACAATTTGCTAACGCGGCCGACATACGGTCGTAGAACTGCATAAGCTCATTGTAACAGTATTCATCGAATTTTCTAATCACAAAAAATGTCACTTTGCTAAAAGTACTTCGACGATTAAGCAGGCGTTGGACAAATTCCTTACCAAAAGTTTCCGATATTTTATCACATATATGAGCAGATCTTGACAATGTGTATCTAATCCCCCCTCAGGTACTATACGACTTGCCATCGACACGCTTAGAGTCAGCACTGAAGGGTTTGGAAAATTTGTCGAAAATTAAGCTGACCTCATAACCCTCGATTTTCAACAGATTCTCCATACTCTAGAAATATGAATTGTTTTAGTGCGAGGTGAGCCTATTTTTGACTTCGCCGAAGGCACCGACTGTTACCCGAAGACCACGTCGGACGACTGTCGACCGTCCTCAAACGCGCTTTACGACAAACTATCGAGGCGACAAAGTTCCATTGGTAGGATACCGGTGTAGTGATACAGGCCCATACGTCGCCAGACAAATATTTATTTTTTACCCTAGGTTACGAACTAGCTTTAGAAACATCAATCGAACAGCTGAGCTACATTACCTCCATCCGAGGCTGTTTGCATAGTGCAAGTATGGAAACAGAGCTCAAAATCCCACAGTGAGTACGTGTAGATAGCAGTGGTTCCGTGACCTGTCCCTGCCCCTGTCCGATGCAATTAAATTTATCATAAACCATTCGTTCTATTAACTGCAACAACATTTAGGTTGCGTTATTAATTAGTAAAACTGTAGCCTATTATTGCCAAGTACGAATACACATATGACACCTTACCGAATCAATAAATCGTCACATCCCACTGGACGACGAAACCCCTATTGTGAAAATATCTTCCTTATAATCCTGTGTTCATGTAACAAATTTTCCATTCTTCTTTGCCATTTACCGCGTGTTCCTGGTTCACTTAAACTGTTACCCGTTATACCTTGCAACATTTGGTCGATTAAGGTTAAAACGACCTTCAAATTTGAAATCCGAAAAAATCAGGCCGCTCTAAAAACTAGGCATATATACATTTGGTATTAATTATCAGAACTAGGACTTTGCTTAGCTTTAATAGTTCTAATGCGTAAACGTTAACGTAAACGAGAGATGATCCTACCTGAAACTGTGCATCAGGTAGCATCAGCTCAAAATTTTAGTAGGAGACTAAATCCGAAAGTACTCCATATCTGTATCCTTAAGACATCCTGAAAAAAATGGTGAGCACAATTTTGGCTCTATACATAAATTACTACTGTATTGTTAATACTACAACTAAGCGTTTTTTGAGCAGCTCCAGCAGGAGTTTCTCAATAATGTGCCCTACTGTTTTCCCGCTTCAACCTTTGTTTATTCTGAATTCCTTCTGAACACGCGGTCGTTTTCTGGAAACCGAAAATCAGCTATGTCGTCTGCTCAGGCCTCGCACTGAGAATACATACCAATGTATTATGCCGGCCGCTGCTGGTTGGATAGATCGCAACCGCTATGGGAAATTTAGCGGGGCGGCAAACACGGCAAAGGTACAGCCGTATCATGGCGGAAGTCAAGAAGCAGGGAGAGATGGTAACGCCGACAGCAACGTCGGGCGCAGTAGGAATTCGAACACACGATCGGAAATTAGAGAACTATTGACCTTGTCGCACCAATTATTGATAGAACACGCCAGTTCGCCCCAATAGACGGCATAAAGCATAGTTGCTTTAGTCAAGAGGCCGTAAGCCAAAAAATAGCACAGAGCTTAGCCTGTCGCTAATCGGCGAAAGGGGGCCAACATGATGATCCAACATAAAAGAGGAGCTTACGTTTACTGCCAGGTGGCGCACAACTTTGTGTAGCTGCAGCCACTGACCCTTCAATCGGAACTAAGAACTTCTGGGAGTTCTCACTAACCCTTTATATCCCGTCCGCTCTATTTCCACGCAGCATGCTGCTTGCGTCAAACAACAGGAACAATATGTCTGAAAGTTTGTTACGAACCCTATCTTGCACAATACGTATAGCGTGATCTGTAGGTAAAGAAAGCTTAGCGCAACGACAACGACAACGCCGCCGATGGTGCCATAGCCGCCTTAAACTGGACCGTAACACCAACTCATAATGAGCTCTATTTCTAGGCATCCCAAGGACATACACCCGATGTCTAGCCAGCTCTGTTTGTTTTGGGCGAAACTTTGATATGCAAGCCGACCGTACAGAATTGGTGAGTAGGTAGATTTTAATTAGATTACGACATGCACATTTATAATACTATTTGTATGCATGTAGGTAGAAAAACGGAACTTGGAAGGTTTTTCAGTAAGTCAGTTTTGCTTGAGCCTATTAGCTTGTTCGGAACCATTTAGCTGGCCTAAAACTAATTAACAACGTACCATGAATAGACGATATCTGGTAAATATTTACACTAGGTATTTCCACGACCTTAAGCTGATTATCATCAGAAAATAAGCCTACAAGACAGAGATGTATTTGATGCTAACAATCAACGTTCAATGACAACAATCTTCAAAGACGAGAATAGTTAAGAAATTCATTGAAAATTTGTTAATATTGGGCAATGAGTCTTTCAGTGAAGCAGTAGTACACCATTGGTGAAGTACTGCTAATGCGAATATTAGGAGGTTGAAGACCGCAGCATGACTGTACCTTAGAACCTTAAACGGAAGATTGAGTCGCTGTAAATACTCCGTGCAGACGATACTTTTTCTGTGAGATTCTCAAAGCTTGTGTTACTACGTTGTAATAAAGGTACTGAAGAAAACGAAAAACCAAGACAAAAAATATGGGTTTCTCATGAGCAAAGCCGTAATATGTGTGGTATACTATAGAGAAAATTTGTGCAGCTATTGCTAGCAAAAGGAATTCCGTCGTGGAACATGCCGTCGCAAGAAAACAAGAGCCCGTCCGTGTCAGCCGCCAAAAGATGCTCGGTCTAAAAAAATGATGTCAAACAAGGACGGGTATAATTATTACTGGTGTGAAATTTTCTGAAGACCATAGTTATATTCATAATTTCGCTTTTCCAAAGTAGCTATAGTGGACAAGCAGAAGATTCAGAAAAGCACAAAGTTCTTTTCGATACCATTCAGAAAATTTTCTATCAAAGGCTACTTCGACTTCACTTCGATTTACCCGAGACGCCGTCTTGGACCTTGTAACAAGCTGGCTTCCCAGCAGCTACTTATGTCAGATATCCTATAATAGCAGGCACATTGCTAAAGAAGATTATCGTATTATTCACTTAACGTGCTATAGCTGCCTCAGTCACATGCGTGAGGACGGTAACCACGTAGTCCTACATTGATATGCCCATCTATACGCAGTTTATATAAATATAAACGCTAGTAAAAAAATATAACTTGACAAACACCTATCAGTGTTCCTCGATCCTAAGATAAACATGGACTGTATTTCATTTTAAAGAACATTCGATACGGATGTGTACAAAGCCTGCAGCCGTACTTTTATGGAAATGCCAGCTGGGCAAGGAGAAAGCCTTCTGCTTACAGATACTGCATCTGCAAGTTTTCCTTGTTCCAACCTTTCAGTGCCTAACAGAGTGTTAGCTGGCCACAATTCTTTGCCGTTTTCCTACTTCCTTCATTCGGCCGACTCTCTTTGTTCTGTGGGCTCTTCTCATAATCTAATTAACGATCCATCCAGAGCACTAAGAGCAGAGCCGGATCAAACGTTTCGTTCAGGCAACCAATAACCGGCCGGTACCGTCAAATGTAATCAGTTTTTTTAGGTACTTTTAGAGTACTACATGGTTAAAAAAAAAGAACCTCGGATACAATGATGCTTCTGTGTTGCTATACGGTTTGCGCTGTTAGCCAAGATATATTGTTAGCGTTGGGTGCTAATCTTACACTGATTGGCGCTATTGTCTAATATCCTCTTACAGATACGTAATCCGATTCACATATCTTATGAAAATGCGGTGCTTTATGACAATTGTAGACAAAAAGTTATCTAGGCGACTGGGGCTAGTTTGCCTCATTTGTCAATTTTATAGTAGAAACAATTTCATTACCCATGCTGATCTATAATTATGTAGTGATTTATTGATTAGCAGTAAGTAACAGTAAAGTCTGGGTAGTGTCATGATCTGTAACCGCCTATACGAGTTCAGTTTATGTGAGTGAGGTCGTGCTTCACGCGCGTGAAGGATTCACCGTAAAGAAACCCTTTTATTTAATCTATTCCGTCCTTGCATTTCAACTGAGCATATAAACAATAGGGAATGCGTTTTTGACTAGCCAAAAATTAACCTGATTTTACAACACTACCAATAGATCACTCTCTGATGCCAATACGTCTACTGTACTTTTGGAAAGTGCACGAGAGCGCATGTGAGCTTGTGTCCTAAAAATAAATGGATAAGTATGCTAAGGTAATACGCATTCTTATCACTTACAATGTTTCCCCTCTCTTGCTCGCTTACCTTTATACCCTGTTTGTCTTCCTTCATTCGATAACTCGTTTTTCCTGATTCGTCCTCATGTCACTTCATGAAGCGCAATCTAAAAGTACGCCGTGCTTTCTTTGCTGTTGTCCAATGCCTTCGTCTCTATTGCTACTCGACTCTTCGATCGACTATTTTCGTGTCTAGCAACAATAATGAACCGCAACAATCTCGGCGCCTGTTTTTTTTATCTTTGGTATTGTAAGTTGTGTATCTGGAACAGTTTCTTTGAGAATAAGCAAAAAACCGAAAGCTCCAGCCACATACAAAATTGGATAGCTACCATACACCGATGTTTGTTTACCATTCAGACCAGCCATTCGTGCGCTTCGTATTACGCCATATGTGAGACAGGAAAGTGTGGTAGGAGAATCCTGAGATGTTTCTCTTGCCTTTTCTTCTTATCCAGCTGATCCCATTACTATTGCCGCTCTTAGCATGACTACCACTACCATAACAACAGGCAAGTGTCGAGGTGCTCCACATATGAATATGGATCCAGGGACAGATGAAGGGGATACTCGAGATTTTCTTGAACCCTCAACGGCAACGCTCGGAGACACACTCAGCCTCTTCGTCGACTCCCCTCCGTAATGTTTCTCGAACCATTCTCCTCCACTTTTGTTGGTTCCTTGCTCTTTTTATGGTCGGCGTGAATATTGCACCACTGTCAGCACAGAACAGGACGGGGCGTGAGTATCCATGATATGACGTTCATCTGCGACACCCTCCCTTCCCATCCAGGACAGTCTTAGTGGCGCGGTAGGCGCTACTGCTGCCTACGTTAGCGGCAAGAGGCAGCCTCTATGGCTAGCCTTGTCGTTTTTGTCGTTGTCGTATTGTTCGCCTTTTTGAAGCGCCTCACACATACGTCTCCACTCTAGGGGCCAGTCCACATTGTCGACGACGTGTCATACTGCGGGTCGGTAGTTGCCCACAATTCTCAGAGTTGTCTCTCATAGTCGCGTAGTCTCCCTCGTATTCGCCAGCGGTCGACTGAAAGCTGCAGCTTAAACGGCGGTCTGATGCGACAACTGAGGACGGGATATGCGACGGTACTTGTCGCCACACAGTCACCGGAGGCTTGAGACGCTGTCCTTGCTCACACGCATGTAACATGTACTCGGTGTTGAGCTGCTTGTACGCTGAAAGGGGAAATCATACGAGAAAGGACCTTGCAGAAGCAGAAAATACACAGTTTCAGGGAAGAGCTTAACTCAGATATGGAAATACGCCTTCGTAAGCGTATGATGGCAACCGCATGCACCACGTCTAAATGGCGTTAGGAGTATGCTGTCTATCAGAATACTATAAAGCTAAGCAGAGTTAAGACGAAGAACAAAAGGAATTCGTTTGGAATCCGCTTCAACGAGAGCACTTACCTAACGTATGGCTGTCATTCGCAGTTACAGAAAACATTTGTGCAATCAGGATCTTTAGAAGATAGCAGAATTTACATTTTCCCCGTAGAATATGTAGCAAACTAGGTTTGATATTTTAGAGCCGGGAGCGCCAACAAAACGGTGCTTTTTTGTTCACATACGGAAAACTGTTGGCATCCGTTTGGCTATCTTGTCTTGAAATTTAAAGCGATTTAATTTACGATTGTTGAGATCAAAGCCAGTACTAAGTAAAAAAAATACATCTAATCAATTACGCAGAACTGCATTAGTAAATCATCAAAGTTTTACTATATGTACAGTTTTTAGCTGTTTGGCTTTTCTGAAGCCATCAGGTCACCGGTATTTTTCGGTTTGTTTGAATTTGTTTTGCATTTCTGTTCGCGTGCTACAAGAACTTGGTATCTCAGATAAAATATATAGTTTTCCCTCCTAAACTTCAATGCATGCTAAAAATTGTTTCGGTTTCGGACTAACAGCGTCGCTCTACGTGCAGACGAGTTAAATTACCTGTAACAATGAATAGAATTGGGGCACGTGGTTAAGCTTGTATATATTGTCTTCCCACTCAGAGCTGGCAGACCAGAAACGATAAAACAAAAATATACGGAAGTATAATACGATTCGTTTTGCAGAAGTGGAACTTGATCATTTATTCAAAGCTACTAGAGCGAATACAGACGCAGAGTGTTCGCAATCAGTATCCACAAGTGGCAGCCATTAAAAACCGGTCAGTAAAATATTTTACCTTCGGTAAAACAACTTCGCCTCGCTCAAGAATGGTTGACACCCGATAAGCTACACTAAAAGACTGCTCAACAACTCGTATATACGATGAATGGAAAAGGCTATTTTGAGGAATATTAGATAGTTAATGAAACGGCTCCATGTTCAACTGGCTAAAACGGCTTGGCCGATCGTCTCATTGGAGTGTAGGCAATTACGATTAATTCGGAAGTTCCTAAGCCAATTTTGGTTTGGCTTTCAAACAAATGTCGTCCTTTGACTTAATAGTTGATAGAACGCGACCTTTTTATGTGAACAGTTAGTGCAGGGTTGATTTTTATCACAGATCATTCGTTTTGTAACAATGAAAAATCAAATTTGTTGGCAGTAAGGATCTTCGTTTATAGCTTACCAGTGAACATAAGTCTGCATTTGATGGCCTGGTTTCAAGGTCGACTTAACCTGTCTCCGTTGGCGTAAAGATAAACAACAGATTGCTGTTCAACGTAATTGATCTAGGCATAAGGTGTTGCTTTCACGTGGTGCCCGGTAATTGCGGATAATGTTGCGTTTCTAAACGAACGTGTTCGTATTTGCTAAACTAAAAGCGTCCTTTGTTAGCAAATTCGATATACTTTAAAAACTTAGGCAACTCATAGAAATCGGCTGTTTTCATTAATTAATTAAAGATTGGAAATGTTACATGACGGCAGACTTGGCAGTATGGAGAAAGGTCACCAGATGGTGCGACGTAGTAATGAGCTACATGAAAAAGGACTGACGACAGGCATTGTAAGGGAAGACCATTCGAGAACCCGCTGTGACCAAACGCTCCAGGAGACCCAAAGCTTAAATAATACCTCAGCAGCTTAAGCTTATTGACGTGCATTAAGAGAGGCGACTTCACAGGTTTGCTCCAAAATCTGAGGCTTGATAGGCTGTTCTCCTCCTTAATCATCCCCGTATCTTGTCGGTTTTCACCCATGTTAAAGACGTTCGTTCGTTCTCTTGAAAAGGTAAGAAGTATCACTGTCGCCTCGCGCAGCTCTCATCAGGGCCTGTTTTTAAAGTATATTTTATCGATAATGCGTATAATGTGGGTTGGTTACAGTGATTCCCGTTTTCTGCTGTTGTTTAATACATGAAGGTCGTAAATTGTATTCTAAAATAGCAACGTTGTTAGATGTTACACGCGAAATAGAACGGGGATTATCTCGAATAAGGAACAAGTTCTCATAAATGAGTTAGCTTCTTGACTGTCTTTTCAAGCAAAACGGATGAGTTCTGCTTAATCAAATAAACCGATATTAGGCGAAACTCAATCTTATGAGCCGACTTATAAGGTTTCTGTCATTTGCTCTAAAAAAACAATCTTCTATCATCGTCGCTACCAGCTTTCGCGAAAGTAAAAGGACAGAATCTAGCTGCTCATAATTTACGGTAAAAAAGAAACACAATAACGGGCACAAAAGAAAATTTACACTAGAGTTTGTAATTTGAAAATCTAGACTTCTATGTATAACCAAAATAGGCTTCCCGTTCAAACAGATCCTATTCGAGCTGTGAGTCAGCGGACCTAATTATTATTATTTTTTTAATAAATATCCTGCATATGGATAAATCTTACCTAGTTGTTCCTATAATGGGAGGGTACTGGCTGCTACGAGCTAGGTGACACGACCGATTCCTCAGCCCAAATGCGTCACTACCTATTGGCGACCACCAATTGAAGTTGTTTTAACATAATCCTATTTGGCATATACTATATTGAATCTGTTTAGCAGTAGTAAAATTTGACGGTAAAAGTCAGAAGAACTTTCTATTCCGCACACATCTATAGTCGCGTCACTCAAACTTACATAAGGAAACAATTACATAACGCTTTTTTTTTTCTTAGATTTGTTCATTTGATATGTTTTAAATTACCTTCCCTCATAAAATGAACGTTGTTCAGTTATACAAATTATAAGCGAAATAACAAGGACATTGTTTTTAGTACGAGCATCTGATGCTCATTTTGTTTTTACAGAAACGACAATACTAAGGAATAAAGACGACAACGCATGAGGTAGGCGAAGATTTTAAGGGCCTGAGGTGTATGTGTATGTCTGTTTGTTCCTGTGTAAGCCTACTTGCCTGCTTGAACGGAAAGGCCGACAGCCTGTCTTAAAACACTATCATCGCATAAGAATGAATAAGGACGTCGTCAACATAGCCGTAAGGCGTAAAGACCTTACGCCCGCGTGCCGCCTACTTCTTCAAACTAACCCAAATAACAACATCACAATCACCAGCAACAGCAGTGAGTACTCCTTTAGAAATTTCTCCATTTTATTTGCTATCTTTCGCCCCACTCTAGAAGCCCAGCGGAGGCAGTCTGTCCAAATAACGTGTCGGCCAGATATGCTCGGACTGAGTTAGTCATCGTGTGCTGTCAATTTGGACTTTCTGTCTCTACCTCCCTCTGCAGCAACTACGAATCGCGGCTCCTGTGCATAGTTCAACGGCCAAAAGGCAGCCATAATGGTTACCTCCTTGGCTTTCCTTAGCTGGCTCCTACTTTTCTATCCTCGTAAGTGCCGCAGTTAGCGCGGATGACAAGGCAAGAAAGGCTGCAAAGGCGTATGTCTCTCATGGACGGACGCGATGGTAGAAGCAGCAGCAGCAGCAGCACGAACGCAGACAGTGGAAAAAATAATAAGCAACAACGAGTAGCCAGCGCAGCAGCTGTATCTGCGAAGATGCACAAGTGTAACACGCATGACCGTAGTATCCCGAAGAGTATTTTCTGCTGACACAATGGCTGAAAAAGCCACTTTCGCGACTATGAAATATTGTTACATCTATATCTTAAGCCTGTTAGTAAGCGAACCGCAAGCAGGCGCAAATAGACGACTTTTTCTTCTTAGCCTTTTTGACAATTCATATTAGAGAACGGCAAGCTAGGTACACGTCGTCGCTATGTACTGCGTTCAGGTCCTATAAGGAAATCGAGGTCATGTACAGGACTTGGCTTTGCTTTTGCTGGTGTCAAACCTGGATATAGTGAAACGTGTTTTTATTATCATCGTTATCATCATAGTCGCAATTACGGACCATTATAAAGAGTTTTGTCGTGACATTTTCTTTGTAATATACGGTAATGCTGCACGTAACAATTTTAAGAAACAGTTCAAGATAGTCCATAACTCTTACAATTAATCGAAGCTTCCATGCCCTAATGCTATATCTAACATTATCCGCTTTTCGAAAGCAATGTCAAGATAGGGCTTGAACTCTACGTGATCGTTCATTGCTCCGTACGAGCCCCATGGTCGCCGCACAGTAGCTCTGCGTTAAATTACTTGACAGTCTATCTCCGTTGTGCAGAAGCGCTAAATTTATGGTTTCAGGCAAGCAGTGTTGACAAAAGATACTTAGTAAATAAATTTAACCCCAGTAGCAGAAAACGACATCTGTAAAACGCACGCGCAACATCTGGCTTTCCTTTGAAATCACAGCTCAGCTCGTGGAACAATCTCTATTTCTCTTCGGCGAAGCTCAACATCCGCAAGTAACCATTCGGGAAGAGGTATAAGACATAAATTTATGGTTCTCTTCGCTGAAACAGGAACACGCGGACAGATCAAATGCATCCTATTTTTTTTAAATGCAGGTGCCACAATCTGCGTCACATACTTACAATCCTATAACGTAATGATACATTAATTTAGTAGTAGGAAATTACGTGTTACTTTGACTTATGCTGGATCTTTAACCATAATGTTTTTTCGTTTACTCTACTCTGTGCGAGATAGAGACAACACATAATACTTTTGCAAGTGTCGGTTTTTCTCGCTTCGCGCTGACGCAGGGTCCAGCAAGCAATTAAGGATAGCACCGGACGCGAAGGAAAACAGCTGTTTTTAAGCATGTTACGCGCAGAGCGCGTAAAGCAGTATGTCCGGCCGCCGTCCAATAACTAGTCAAATTTGTTTACGCGTTAGACTTTCCGTAGTACGTCAGAGTGTCCTTGCCCCCTGCTACACTGACATTTTAGAACAGACTAGATCAGTAGTTGCATAGCTTCAAATACGCTGTTTCAAAGCTATGAGCCAAAGCTTCTATGTGGCATATTTTGCCTACACGATTTGTGTCAGTGTTAGCTACACCCTATGCAGAAATAAAATTGCTTCTATAACAGACGTGTAAATCTATGTTGGATGAATTGACGTAATCGGACAAGGACGAGAAATGTGGTCATCCGGTCTTCTTGTTGGATCGCATCATAGAGTCCTCTCTTGTATGCATATATGAGATAAAGTTACCTTTAAAGTAGTTAATTCCTTGTAACCGTATAAGAGGAACAACAAATTCCATGAAACCCTATATTTGTCGTCGCAAGCTACGAAATAAGTATCAGATAAGGTATTATTATACACTTAATTACGCCATCTAGATAGAAGAAAAGGGCCAAGATAGTTTGCTAGCTAACTGTTTACCTTTTGCGTCGGCCTTGTAGACGTTTCTATGTAATGATAGTAGACGCTTTCAAGGATCCAGATATTCCTTGTAACTCGATTTCAATCCGGAAGCCTTGAGTTGTGACCTCTCTAGCGTGCTAGTGTGCTCTTCTTATAAATATTGATAACTGTGTCCCTCCTGTAGTGGTGCTCGATACAAGAGAACCTAAGGAAACGGATCCTCATTAAGTATAATTGATCTTCATCTGCCTATTTCTGGTAAAAAAAAAGATAGGTCTGTGTTTGATTACTGAATTTAATCCATTGTAGGACTTTTTTATTTAACATTTACCAACATTTTGAAAGTGACGAGGTTACTAGCAGCCCGGTTTCGAAACTGTTATTTTTGTGCAATACTGATACTCTGCGGAGCAAGAAAGAGACAACGAACGTAAGCGCCATGTTATTTCTATAATTTTTCCGAAGTAAGTTGACTGAAAATTTCGTTCTTGACTTCAGAATGGCCGTGTGATTAACGGTATATCGAATACGGATAATTCATAGGATCACATTCTAAGCTTTTGGGTTTGATGTTAGGTAGAACGAGAAAGTTTGACAGTTCTTTTTAAAAAACAGTGCTCAGCTAAAATTGGTTTCTTTTTCCAACGGATACATGAGCAAGAGATACTCCCCGTTCTCTAACGAAGTATTTTGTGTCCGGTCTAGTCTTGTCTAGTTGTGGTATGACAAGCAATGAGCTCAGAGAATCAGACATGGCTTCCCTTTTTCTATCTTAATTTTTCAAGTTCTCCCCCTTCCTGATGGAGATTTCCCGAAGCTTGTATATTTTGAAGCTATTCGATCGTTACGTAGCCTGATCCATAAACTGTCAAAAGAATGATTAAGGCAATCAGTCGCCTCCTTTTCAGATCCTTAAAATAAACAAGCGACATGGATAAACATACGCTCACAGACATAAGAAGAAACATTCGTCTGGGTTAAGCATATTTACCTAAGCAACACCTTTCAACACACCGGCCGTATGGGCCGTGCAATTTTGTTTCAGACTCATGTATTGTCTTTGCAATATTTATTTTTTCAATAGAAGCCAAATCAAGAATTACCGTACGTTGAAGAAACGTAGTAAACGAAGTACTACTGATAGTTCACTAGCTCTTTTTCGCCGATCGCTAAAAGGTTTAACAAATACCGAAGGTTTTTATCACGCCTTTGTTACTAACAGAGACGATAGAACAGTGCTACTTAACAGTTAGAAAAACTATACCTATTTAAATAAAAAACGCGCTAGCTTTTATTAAGCCTGGGTTTTCTAGTACAGTTTTAAACCCATTTGTGCAATTAAGTACGTTGGTATATTTAAAGTGTGCTCCGTTCTAATGTCCTTAGAAAGCTTATATTAGGCTCGCTTCAATCACAATTTTAGGCTTAGGGTCTCTTCTCGTCTCTACAGTTCTTCCGTGTTTTGCTTGCTGGCCATATCTGAGTGTAGACGTATTGAGGACTACCGATGAAAAGTGTTTTCTTATCCTTTAGACTGCGCACCCTGTGCGCAGTGCGTTTCCAATTTTATAGGGTTCAAAGAGATCCCAATTTCTATAGTCAAAGGCCCTCAGCTAAGGTATGCATATATACATGCGTGTTTATATATAGCTAACCGCAAAAAAACTACCCGGTAAAAGACCTGTACGAGCGCGGTCGTCACTTAACTTGCAAAGGACTTCAAAAATGCCTGTCCCCTTTGTTATCTAATAGTCCTCGAAAAGATTGTCAGTGAGAACATTCACAAGGCTAGCAAAGTCATGCATTAACACCAAACTATACCGAGAGTTGGGTAGCGGAAATCAAGGAGTGCACATGGTTTCATCTATTGACCATCTAAACATTAGCATTTAACCGTTTACGATCTGCTGCAATAACGAATGACAAACATTCATGACTTGAGCTGCTGTTCCAATTTATTGACCCTATTGAAAGAGCCTAGGCGACAGGTGAAGCAAATCATACAACTGACAAAAAAAATGAATAGGTGTGCTGATTGTAAAGGCAAAAAAAAAAAAGTACATCTAAGGACACATATATATTCAACGTCTCTAATGATCTGTCCCCTCTACAAAACTTAACTGTTCGCCCAATAAAAGTGCATCACAGTATTCACAGTTGCACGCCCACCATAATAAAGTGAATCCCCATCATAGTAAACAGCATAGCATCAAAGTGCAAAATAAAAGTTCCAGTTTAGGGCGGAGAGCAGTTACGGCAACTTCAGCAGCGACATCGTGCTTCGACTCATTGGTGAACTTCGGTTTGTCTTTCATAGGCGGTGGAAGTACTATTGCTGCTGCTGCTGCTGCTGGAAATGCAATGGCATGTCCCCCTGATCTCCGAAAGACGATACGTGAGAAGCATGCGAATCGATCATAACCGCTGTGTCGTCCGGCGACTGCCCCAGGGCGAGAGCGAAAAATAACCGAAAAAAGAGCTGCAGAGCAGAACCAGAAAACGGCAGAACAAGCGGGAAAGCGATGCGCTAGGTACCAGAGAAAGCGCGAAACATGCGGTAGATCGATGACCGTAAAAGTGACCTTCCTCATTGCCGTGTCGGAACGAAGAACCTTTTAGCATTAAAGATATAATGACCATAGGGCACACAAAAATAACAGCAGGGACGATGCCGGAGAGAGGCGAACATGTCACCATTGAAAAGACGTGGAAGTGCGCCAGAATCAAAACGTTTGCTGCCGTGAACCAGCTTTCCCAAGTCACTGTCGTTCACACCTACTTTCCAGTAGTGCAACATGTACTGGATATATATATATATATATGTATCTTTGTGTGCACGTATGAACTGCGGGTTATTTTAGGCTTTACGACTCTCTTGTTTAGCTAACTGAATAGTGGTGGGATTGATCACTATATTACTTGGTATTTAACTAATAATATATAAAATTAACGCAGGTTATGATGAGCAAAATTGCCACAAAAGAATGTGTAGCAAAAATATTTTCTGAGATGTTAAATAAAAATAAATAGCTCTCCTAGGATAACATCTTGTTCGAATTCTTTTTTATCAAAGTAATACCTGTCAGCCTTCCAACTATTCCTATAGTGTGAGTATGTCTATTGAATTACCTCCTCGATATAGCGTCAAAATGCTTCTTAATAAGACGCATATAATGTTGGTCTTCAGTGATATCCAATTGCCGTTAATTTTGAATCATTTCAAGTTTCTGATCCTGGTAAAGTAGATTCAAAAGCAGTAACACTCGTTGGATATCAGCTCGACATTTTACTGGCAGACTAAACTTGAATCGATATTTATTACGTAAAAAGGTCAGAGAGGTAATAGCATATAATTCTAATGAAATAACTACTATAATAAATAGTAGTTATTTTATTAGTAGTGTTTCTTTTGCATTTTATCTACTTCTTCCTTTACGTAGAGCGTATGAAAACTTAAATTTCACCTGTACAGTGAGAGTCCACAGCTCGCTCGCTATGCAGTTATTGCAAATTAGCCACAAATAACCATACTACGGTACATATCTGCCTGCGTGAATGGCTGCACGTTGGGATCGTATGTGTTCAAGCGTTTTCTCGAGCTATCTTGACTATCTCTCACAAACAGGCTGATAGGCTTCAGGTCTAATGCATCGCTCGGGCCCAGAACTGATCTCTTTTCTATTCGGTATCGACAGGACCACACATGGTCATAGTCAGTGTCTATTTGTTTACGTAAGAAGAAACAGAGGCAGCTCATGACTTCTTGTGATCAAGACTTCTGTCGGCGAAGACGCCTGGTTCTTGGCGCCCGCTAGTAGCAGACAATTTCTACTTGTTCCTGGGTGTCTCGCTAATTATTGGTTTTCCCATGTGGCGTCTCTTTTTTTTTCGATCGCCACTCTTCTCTTCTGTGTGGCAGATGTCTTTGACCTCAGGAAGCTGTGGTTGAGACATACGCATTCCAGTATAATGTTCCCAATGCTCTAATAGTAAAAATGCAAGCTTCTTTGATGAAAATCAGAGAAAAAATAGCATTATTGCGTATATGGCAACAAGGCCGTAACTACTAAAACGTGAAGCATATGAGGCTCAAGAGCCAGCTTAGGATTTGTTGACCAAGCATGCGATCAGACTCGCTCAGTCCTTTGACGTTATCCCTACCGTATCGTATCTCGAAATGCGTTTACGAAGGCTTTTCGCTTATGGTCACGAGTGTACTAAATAACATTAAGATTTGATACTGGTATTCCTTGTATGGCATTCGCGGTAGTTAGAAAGGCAGCCACGTAAGAGATTGAAGCTGTGGAACCAACAACTGAAAAATCGTGCCTCTTGAATTTTGTCGGAGCATCCACTTGTAAGTTCGTCACTCTTTTATTGTTACAGGCGGGATTCGTGCTACTATTCGTAACAAAAGCAAACTATTCAATATAATACAAAGCCAGGTATTTGACACTACACCTTGCGGTGACCGTTATGAGCGGCCGCGTACGTGGGACGTACGTGGGGACGTATCGTGAATAAGTATCGTGGACATCATTAGATGTAGTTGTATTAGCTTTCAGTCATACCACCCCGTTCGCTACCGCTATAGATCACACGACATAGTTGAGCTACATAAAGATATCTAGATTTCATTTTTTAATCTTTTCGTTTAAAAAATCATTAGCCAGAGGTTAACTCGTTTTTACTGAGTTCGCTAAAGATTCGCACAATTAATAATATATACATATATGACAATAAAAAAAATGCAATGAAGTTTTAAAAAAGACGAAGCCGTTTGGAAGAGGAAAATCAGCACTCGCGTAGATTAAGGTCGGGTCGCATGATACGGGCAACCATAGGAAGGTTTAGCAGAAGAGGGAATTGAAAACAATGGATAGACAACCTTTCGCCGTGAGAGGAGTGGGTGCGCTGCCAAGAGTGGATTGGAAAAATCGGAAATTCTATAATTGCGGTTCGCAAAGAGAATTTCGATAACGCCGGAATAGTCAAATAATTGCTCCTCTTTAGTGAATGTAAACTCTTACAGTATGCGCAAAAGCCCCCTGTTGCCGTTTCCTGGACTTGATAAAGCGCGCTTCAGATTGATCGTTATATCAGTTTAGCAGCTAAGCTACTTTTATGCCAGTCCATTATCTAATGGAAAGTGTGATAAGCTTGAATAATTGATAATATATCTATTGACTATTTCTTACTAGGCAA